CCGAACTATAATTCTGGATCCGCCCCTAGTGAGCTCATGGGTCAAGTCGACTCGATTTAGTTCATTGACATCCCTAATGAAACATGAAGATTAAAATTAATCCGTTTTCAGATCATCTCAATAGCAAGTGAAATCTTTCGTTGGTAACTCCAACGTGAAGAAAAATAAAGGGAAAATTGCAGCGAAGGTTCCAAACCTTTCATTTTGTTGTAGAATAAACCTTTACCTTTTATTTTATGGTTGGAATCCCAAACCTTTCACTTTAATTGCAGTTGGAGTCCATTGTACAGATTCCGTCTAGAATCCCGTTAGTCAACACTAAAAATAGATTTTTGACTCAAATTGGCAAATGAAATGATGGTAAAATGGTCCATTTATATTCATATAATAAAATAATTAAATGAAAAGAAAAATAAAAAAATAAACATCTTCTCCAAAATACCTCCACCTCCACCTCCACCTCCAAAATCAATGGTCTCGCCACCCAAGTAGCCCAACTATCCCAGCACCTTCTCGCCGTCGCTTGCCTCACCACTGCCTCCTCCAACATCTAAAAATGCCCTATCCGTCGTGTGCCCACCAATCTCACAAAATCCCTCGACCATGCTCTCGCCCTCTGCCACAAATGTAAACACAAAAAGACTAACATTTTCCAGCACATTCTATCAATCATCACCATCACTGACTTAAAAAAAGTGGGTAACCTTCGAGATTCTTCTTCAGTGAATGTTCATTGGCTTCTCACAATATTTAAACCTAATTCTAAAAATGGGACTATAAATTTATCTTTATCTCCAATTTCTAGTAATGGTTTGGTTTTACTTGGGTGTGGTCTTATATAGTTGCCATGCAAATGGCTTTTTTTTTTTTTTCCCAGATCCGTTTGACATCCATTATTTGCTTCTTCTTCTTCTTCTTTTCCTTTTTTTTTTTTTTTTTCAAATTTTGCTTCAATTTTTTGGGGTTGCTGCTAGATGAAGTGTAAATAGATCTGTTCAATGTTTAGATCTATTTTAAAGGCTCAAAATGTAATGGCTGGAATGTAAGATTTTAGGGAAGAAAACCATGGATTTTAGAGGTTGGAAGGATATTTCTTGGTATAAAAATGAAATTTGTACCGAGGTATTTTTGCTGGGTGTGCGACAATGGCGACGATTGTTGGGTGGTGCTGATGACAATGGTTGTGCGACAGTGACGATGATAGTTGGACGGTATTGATGACAGTGGTTGTGAGGCAGTGACAAATGTAGTTTTTCATTTTGGAGGTAGGGGTGGGGTGGTGTGTTGTGGAGAAGATGAAGTTTATTTTTTATTTTGCTTTTTATTTAATTATTTAATTATAAGAATGTAAACGACCATTTTACCCCTAATTTCATTTGTCAATTTGAGTCAAAAACCTAATTTCAGTGTTGAATAACGGAATTTAGGACGGAATCTATAGAATGGACTCCGGTTGCAATTAAAATGAAAGGTTTGGGACTGCAGTCGTAAATTTGAAAGGTTAAGGTATATTCTACAATAAAATGAAAGGTTTGGGACCTCCGCTGCAATTTTTCCAAAAATAAAACATGAGCACGCGCGTGCTTTTACTTGATTGCTTCTTGCCATTTTGAATAGAGCGAAATACTATTTTAGGGTTTATGGTTCTTATCTAATACAACATCTATCCAATATTTGTTTCTGATCTTGAAGAAATTGACTTAACTTATAATTGAAATTTTCATTTTTAAGTT